CCTCAACCATATTCGAAGACTACTGCGGCATCGAGCCTATACGATACCCGGAGGAGGAGACGGAGACGAGGCCGCCGCCAGAAGTGTCAGAAGAAGTCCTTATGGACCTCTACGCGGACAACTCGGCAGTCCTTGGAGGTGAGTATAGAAGGAGCGACAGCTTTTAGGGGTAGTGGGGATATAGGGTAGAGGGAATGGAGAAAAGGTTCAGTATGGGCTGAGGAGGAAGTTTTAAGGGAAGAAGTGAAAAGAGAGAGAAGAAAAAGGGAATAGTGGAAAAAAGAAGAGTGGAGGAGAGGGTGAAGAAGGGAAAGGGAAGAATAGTATTTAAGGAGTAGAGTAGAAGAATTGGGATTAAAGAGTAAAATGGGAAGAAGGGGCAGGAACAAGAGAGAAGTGACAAGTGACAGTATTGAGCATGAAGTTAACTGGCTAATCTTGGACTTTGCTCAAGATGTATGTCCTTTTAGAAGTAATTAGGGTTTGTAGTGTAGGGAGTCGTAGAATGCCAGGGGTAGAACTAGGGAGTAGGTAATGTGGGGAAAGGAGGAATCCTCTAGTAGGAAGACTTTTGGGTTTTTGAATATTAAAACTTTACTTGTGCTTTGATTTTTACACCAGTTCAGTGAGATGTTATGTTTTAGAAGTATCTATATATTTGAAGCCTAAGATGTATTTGAGAAAATATATTTTCATTTAATTGTTTGTTTATTTGTAAAGAAATGTACTGTATGGTATATTTGACACACAGGCTTATCAAATGCTTTTCAGCAGGAGACCTCGTAGGGTGATACATATTTATTTCTAAGTGTGTATATACCATCAGATACAGTATATATACAATTTTGATATATATGATATTTATATCCCTTTCATCATCTTTCTCAGGAGTTCTTGCAATCATTTTTATTGCATTGCTGTGCATGGGGTTCTTAATTGGCCGATACATGGCACGACATAAAGGTGACTACCAGACCCATGAGGCAGATGGGGCTGATGCCGCACCGGATGCTGACTGGGCGGTGCAGCATTCCATGACGGGACACCAGGTCAAGAGGAACATGGAAATGTACATCTAGACAACAGCGGCTTCATGCCACACGAAACGCATACCGAGAATATAAACGAATAAAATCAGTAGAGATAAACTTCAAGAGTACAACACATGCTTGATTGTGTTAGATGAGGTGCTTAGTGCACATGATCATGTAGGTCACAAGCTAGAATTATAAGAAAGGTTTATCATGACATAAGAAATTTGTTTTTATTTTATTTACTTATTTATACATGTTTAAAGAGAGTTGAAATTGAGTAGATTACTTTTATTCATACGTGCTTATGAAGGATTAAAGCATAGTGAGTGATCATAATTTAAGACAGTGAGGGGAAGAAAATCTTTTCCAAACAATCTTTTATTTATTTGTTAATTATTATTTTCTGATTATTTTTTCTCAAAATAGGTTTGGGAATGAAATCCTCCGCATGCTAAACATTTTGTTCATAGACTGTTTAGCACATATTTTCCTTTTTTGTTATGATCAATTCTGCAGGAAGGTCCCAGAATTACTCATGAGTTAGCTGTATGTATTGAAGGTTGGTGAGATTCAAAGGTTGAATATCCTTTGGCGATTAGCATAATTTCAGGGCTCTTGGGGTCTGAGCACAAGCAAGGGGAATATATGAGAGCTTTTCTTTCTAATTGAGGAATGAACAAGAGGTATGCCTGGTAGTGTTGTCAGTTGGGAATGTGTATTACTTGTGACTGAGATGGCAAGTTTGACAAGCTTGTAATATCTGTCACGGATAAGTAGTAGTGGATTGATTCTTTATTGACTGAGCATAGTACTTAAATAAGTCATGAATGTTTGTGCAAATCAAGAATTACCAGCAATTTGATGCCATCATTCCTGAGTTTCCTTAACCCACTAACGACAGGTGTCCAATATATGAGACACCCGAAAAAATAAACATTGCTGGGCGTCCCGCCAGTGTGATGCTGTATCAGGGCTCGCACTCCGACACAGCAGCAGGCCGCGGCGGGTGGGCGGGCTGGCAGAATCCGGGGCAGCCCCGCCTACCGATTTTGTAGCCACCCGGAATCTTTTATTTTCGGCTTCAAAATATACCGGCGTTAATGGGTTAAAACCTTTCTGGCAACTTTTCCCTTACGTCAGTCAAGTACTCTTAAGAAAGTCCTATGTTGCTTGTGTTTAGATCTGACAGTTCTTGTGCTTATCATGAAGGGTTTCAGACTAGTATAAAAAGCCAAAGTTGTTACACGTCCATTTTATTTCTTTATTATTGATAAGGGTTATATTTTAAGGTGTAATCTTAATGATTTTCTGTATATTTTTTTAGTTTAACCCCTAAGGGATGGCTTTTGTAATATCACAAAGATAGAGGTGAACACAGAGCTCATGCTGTGTGTTGCAGTTTGGGGGTAGATTTGATCGTCAGGGCAGGAAGCAAGTTATCATAAAACACTATCTGGCATCTGTTACCTCTTAACAGACACCCTTGAGTCAGTGTGCTAGATATGTTAGGGTGTCTGTTGACTGCAGTGAGTGGAAATGTTACACTTGTCAACTGTAACTCGAGCCATCATTTTTGTTCTTTCTTAACCATTCATTATACACTGAATATTATTACAAGGCAAAACATGGTTATCGAGATGTGGAGGAACACCCTTTTGTATGAGTGTTGCATTGTATCCCCCTCTGCTGGGGCTGAATACGGAATCTCAGAGCATAAACATATATAGCAATAAGAATCTCATTGTTTTTGTTTGTTTTTCCTTTTCTCTCATCTGATCTTTATCTTGTCCTTTTTTCCTTTTTTTTTTATTGATATTGGTTATATATTTTTTCTTTCTATTTTCTTTTTATGGTTTGGATTATGTTACTGTAAAGATCTGGTGGTTCACCTAAACATTTTTAAACCATAACACAGTCTTTATAGTATTAAATGTTTCCATCTTGGTAATCTGCTGAAGTATTAACATGGTCTCATTGCTATATATTTAGGCCAATGTGCATTATGGGATAAGGTTGTGAGATCTGCATTTTGTAAGTTTATGTATATTTTTTCATTATTATGTTTTTTCTTGCTTCTGGTTTCTATAGAAGTACCCACACGTGTTTACGTATATTGTCTCCAATTGCTATGAATTGAGGAATGTTTTAATTGTTTTTCATTGCTTTTTAATTTGGAGAATACACCATAAAAAAGAATTTTTAACTGAAAATAGCTCTTGGGTGTCATCAAGATCATTGTCAAGGTGGTGTAATTGTAAAAGCACCTGTAGTTTTGGTCACACACTGAGCTTGTCCGTTGGATAACAAAAACTTTGCTCACATTTTCTCTTTGGCCATAAATGTAGTGGAATAAATAGATTTACTATTTATGAAGATGAAATGGAGGAAGGAGAAAAAATGTAGTTTCTCAGCCTCTGACATTCTGTCCCTCCATATTTACAAGGATGCTGTTTGAATGTGTTGATTCAGTATCATGCATGAGTATATGTATTAATGTCATTCTCTTTTAATTTGCTGCAACAGCATGAATGGTCTGTTGGAATTGCCAATGCCACAATTACAACAGTTTTTGTCATTAGTTCTGAACTGATTCATTAATTGCAGCTGTCACTAGTAGTGAGAGCTGCAGGAATGGAGAAAAAGAGAAAAAATATTTAGCTTCATAATTTTTATAAGTGTTTAATCATGTGATTTATTAGTTGTTGGTTTTGTTTCATTTTAAAACTAACTTTATAAACTAACTTTATCAAATATCATGTGTGTTTGAAAGTGTCTTTAGTAAACAGAGTTTTGCATTCATAAGGGAAAAGCATTTGTTATTCATCACAAATATTAGTTGCTTTATGTCTGGTTTATTTACATAAAATTCAGGAAAAGTGTATTTGATTCATATATAAAGAATAATTTAATCTATTATATATATATATATATATATATATATATGTGTGTGTGTGTGTGTTTATATATACATATAAATATATGTACTGCGTATATATGTACAACAAGAAATATATATCTTCATATTGCCAAAGTAGAGATGTTTTGACAGTTTGATATGGAAAAGAAAGATCATTTAGGAAGAGAAAATGAGCAAGATTACTGTTCATTAGAAATTTGTTTTCTCATTGTATTTTATTCTTGGATTTTATGTTTTTTATCAGTATGTATTTTTTTCATAATTATTTATTTTTGATCAGTATTTTCTTTCTTTTGGTACCATCTTAATGCAGTTAGTATATTACTTTTTTGTTATAGATTAATGAACAGGAAAACTTGTTTGCAAGTAATGAGGGAGATTGTGTTAGTGTGTAAAGTCTACTGAACTTTACAAAGGCGAAGAAATTATTACTTCAGTGCAATGGCAGCAAAGATTCACATCATCTTCTGTACTTGAAGTACTCTGTATAATTGTATGTTGTATACCTCTAGTAAATATATTTTGTACAAACTTTTAATCTCTTAAGTGTTTTCTTTAACCGCCTGCCCCGGCTGTGTAATTGAAATTTGATGGCTAAATTAAGAGGAAGACAGAAAGAAACTGATATAGTAAAAAAAATGATAGGGAAAAAAACAGTTACTCTCTTCATGTCTTTTGGATTGTGTTATTAATGTGCTTTTTAATTTTTTTAAGGGGATTTTCTCTCCAGTGTACCTTGCTGAACCATTCAGTAATTCAGTCAGGTAAGAATCTATGAAATTTCTTTGATCTGACATCAGTATCATAATGCAATTTGACATGTTATAAATGTCATTATCCCCACACTTTACCATTACATTATCATAATTAGGTCAAACTACCATGCTGTTTTTTGTATTTTTGCCAAAAATGTTCCAAATTCCCCCCTTCAACAAATATAGAACTCATAACAAGATTATTGATGACTTGCCTTGGTCATAAAACCTGTATCATTTATCTGCAGCCTTCCAAAGTCTTCACCCTGGTTTATCAGGCGTCCCAAGATAAGA